AGCATTAGGACTTATAGAAGATGATGACGAATGGTATCGTGCTATGAACGAAGCAAAAGTTTGGATGATGCCAAGACGACTTCGTAATTTATTCGTACGAATTTTAATTCACTGTCAACCAATCCATCCAAAAAATTTATGGGACGAATTTAAAAAAGATATGTCCGAAGATTATATAAGACATCATGGACTCACAATAGGAATTAAAAAAGCTTATAAGTATATTGTTAATTTGCTTCAAGCGGAAGGATCGAATATTGTTAATTTTCCTGAAATGGAACAAGTAATAGAAGAACAAGAAATAGATGATGAAGAACAAATTCAAGAAGATTTATCAATAGGTGTGCGACAATATGGACAATTAAATATAGAGCAAAAAGAAATTGTTGATATTATTTTAGCAGCAACAACAGCTAATAATAATAATGATACTTGTTTTTATATCGATGGGCCAGGTGGTTCTGGTAAAACTTTTATTTATACGACTTTATATTATCTACTTAAAAACAAAAAAAAAGTAGTAAATACTATGGCATTTACTGGTATTGCTGCAACATTACTTCCAAATGGAAGAACGGTACATAAAGTTTTTGGATTACCTGTACCTCTTTTTAATGATTCTACATCAAATATTAAGGTGCAATCTAAAGAAGCTGATATATTAAAACTTGTGGATGTTTTTATTTTGGACGAAGCTCCTATGGCGCCACGTTATGTATTAGAAATAATGGATCGAACATTACGTGATATAATGCAAAATGATTTATATTTTGGTGGAAAAATTGTGCTTCTCGGTGGAGATTTTAGACAATTATTACCTGTAAAAGAAAGAGCTACACGTTGTGAAATTATAAATTTATCTATAAAATTTAGTACCTTATGGAAACAATTCAAGATATTTTCATTAACGGAAAATATAAGAGTTTTACCGCAGGAAAGAGAATTTGCACAATTTTTATTAGATTTAGGTAATGGTATTTTAAACGATCAATCAGATAATATTCAAATTCCAGAAAGATGTATAGCAAATGTTAATTCGGATATGATAAAAGAAACGTATGGGGACATTATAACTCATAAACGATATAAATCTATTGCTAATCATGTTATATTGTCTGCAAGAAATATTGATGTTAACGAAATAAATGAAAAAGTAGTAGATTTATTAGATGCAACGACAGAGAGAGTTTATACAAGTGTAGATACTCCTGAAACTACTGGTGATAACAAGGATATATATGAAGTAATTTTGACAGAATATCTTAACTCTTTAAATCCAACATGCCTTCCACCACATGAATTACGCTTGAGAAAGTATTCAGTTATTATGCTTATTAGAAATCTCAATATTAGTGAAGGTTTGTGTAATGGTACTAGACTGTTAGTTTTAGATATGGATAATAATTTATTACGATGTGAAATTATATCAGGTAATAAGATTGGAGAGATTATTTTTCTTAATCGTATTACTTTATACTGTGAAAATATATATCCGTTTACTTTCAAAAGAAGACAGTTTCCAGTAAAACTAGCATTTGCTATGACTATTAATAAATCACAAGGACAGACTTTCGAAAAAGTTGCAGTGGATCTTCGTAAAGATGTTTTCAATCATGGACAACTATACGTTGCATTATCACGAGTACGTTCTTGGGATTCGTTGAAAGTTTATGTTGAGGATAATAATCAGTCTAATAAAGTAAAAAATTACGTTTATAAAGAAATCCTTGATTAATAAAACGTAACGAAAAATGAATAAAGGTCAATATTTAATTGTATCTATACATGTTATACATGTTGTGTTTATACATGTGTTTTTTTTTATTAGATTGACAAATAATCTATTATAATTATTTTTCATACTAACAAGCATCT